AACAATAAATTTTGATGCAAATATTCGCCGATAATAATGGACGTCCCTAATTAAAATAGCTAATATTTGTTCTTTATGTTTATTTTTATAATCTGCATGTTCGTTTTAAATGATAAGACTTTTTGCAATAGAGACAGAGACCTTTAGTCATTTGTCTGACTGGATCAGTGTCTTTTGTACATAGAAAAGATATTTGTGTCGTTTGTGATGATGTAACATCCTGTCTTTAACCCTCTGGAGGCAGGCGTTGCAGATGTGCAACAGTTAAAACCTACCTACCTGGTTACTCCACACATGTATTTCATGAGCATTTTTTAACTCAGAAGTATCCCTGAAGGACTCAGTTGTTCGTCCTTTTATCAAAACTTATTTTGAGCCTGAGAGGGTTAAACTGTGATGAGAGCGCCACAGCAGCTAAAGATCACTGGTGGCGTTTATTTATTAATCATCACAGCAGATTTGGAGAGGAGTTGAGGGTTTCCCTGACATAATAACAATCCATTTTAGGTGTTGGGATTAACCCACCTTGATGAGGGGGATCAAATTCCTGCTGTCATAATTTTCCCGTGAATCCACAAAAGTAGACGACTGCTAGTTCTCGTTTTGTGACACCCGTATCATTACGTGCTTCTGATGGTTCAGAAAGTTTACAATTCAAGCCACACACATTGAAGCCCGCAATAACTCCGTTCAAACTGAATTAAATCAACATAAAGGGTATACGTTTTAGATGTGAGCGTGTGTAGTTCCTGTCAGCTCATTGGTTTCTGAATATCTTTGTTCATAAGTTTGGTTTTAAAGGCTTTCAATTTAAGGATTCAAAGTACTTTTACCGCTTTTATTGTATTGTTTTCAGCTGCAGGGATCTGATTTGTGACGGGGGAGCTTTTTATGAAGATGCAGACTCAAAACATAGATGAAATTGTCAAGTTTCTAGAAACGTGACGCCTTGTGTTTAGGATCTGTTGCTACAACTGCTAGAGGGTGACACGGTTAGATTTTTACTAGGCCAGAGGTACCGACTGATGAGATTTTGGCTTTTGCCTCCTGATATTTTTCTGAATCAATCCATGTCGAGCCAAACATTTCCTTAGGAGGCCTGTTAGAAACGCTCCAGCATAAATGAAAGCAACACCATCTCTTTGGGTCAGGAGTGATGAGGGTTCGTGCTCTGACTCTTTTAGCTCTGTGGCTCTAACTACATGTCAATGGCGCTGACACTCAGCAACAATAACTGCCAAACAAAAAGGAAAAGTCCTAAACCATCAACTGCCAACATCTGCAGCCAACACGTTGCCACAGCAACCTCACTAACAGGGATGGAGGAATGTTTGGCTTGAGTTCAGAAGCAGCAGTGCTCCAGGAGTCTTATGTGTCCTGTCACTGAGGGCTGTTTTAGTTTTTACCCCCCTCCCCTCCCCTTCCACACACACCGAGGCATAATCCATTCGAGCTCCACTAATGGACCCATGTTATGGGGTCACATGGGGTGAGGTGGGGGTGGAGGGAAGTTGAAATGTTGGGTATGCTCCTGCTCCTATGCTCCATTGGGAGACTGTCAACTGGTGTATGAGCACTCAGATGAGAATAAAGGCATGAATATTAGATGTAACTCCTTCCAGAGGTGTTGTCACACCGAAACTGTGCCTTGGCCTCTTTTCTTGGTTATGCTGGGTTCATTTAGGCACTAATTTCTATCGTAATGGGATTCACAGCACTCATCCAACAACACCCAACGCTAGACCTAATAGATGAAAACACTTATGATGAATTGATCCATTTTGTTGTTAAAAACTCAAGCAGCAGAACAGCAAATGTCCTTTAAGTGTTTGTTTTGTTACTCATGTTGATCTACTGGTTCATTATAGGGAGTCTCAGATTTTGACTTAACCAGATTTTGCTGAATAGTCTGAGGCACTGGGTTGGCATATCAGGATCTGCTTTGATGTTGTTCTCTTCATATTTGTTGAATGATCCGTTTCTGGATAGAAAGTACAGATCTCCTCCTTTTCCAGTCCTGTTGGGTGTACCCCAAGGCACTATTTTGAGACCCGAACTGTTTGCTTTATCTGCTCCCTCTTATCAACATTATGTCAACTTTTAAATAAATGTATTATCACATTTATGCAGATATCTAATTATCTCTATTTTCCCAAATAACGTTTTTTCTGCGATGTTTAAAGGTTAGACTGTGGGTAGCCGACAATGTTCATCAATACAAATTAAGAAAAACTGAATCACTTGGCTGTGGATTGGATAGATCTGTCTAGAAATGTGCTGATGCTCAACATCAACACATCTCATAAATATTGTATGAATAAGTCAAGTTCTACATTTTACTGTTTGCTTCTTATTTACCCATCCATGCAAAGTTCATTAAACTGTAAGTAATTTCAGGTATATAATTTGTTTTTTAAATTTTTTTATGTAATTGTAATTCATGATAATCCAACCATGTTTTTGAGCTGTATTCTGAAGCTGTACAAGGTCTTTCTTTATATGTGCATTAGTATCAATCCTGCAAAACGAACAAGTTTCATCTTTTTCGACTTCTGTCATTTATATGTAGTGTACTTGGGTTTGGACCTAACACTAAACATTGGGGTACTACACAGGATAGTAGTTTTGCAGTAGATCTTAGTATTTTAATTATCTGTAATTACCTAGCTGTATGGCACACCTCTTTTGCCATAATATATATCGTTATCTATATTTACTGTGCTGGAAGTTCTTTGACATTTCCTCACTTTCACACATTTCTGCCTCCATGGCTACATGATGTGAAATTGGCCGCCATGTCAAGAATTAAACTGATGGAAAAGCTGGGACATTTTTTTAACACAACAGAAATCCACATTGTAACTGGCTCATGTTGGGATTATTTTGTTGTTATATAAACTTTTAACTTGCATTTGTTCAAATAACGCCATTTAAAAGACAGGAGCCATCCATAGTTAAAATCTTTTTATGCTGTTATTTTTTCTCTTCATGACTTAAGCCAATGGTTCTTTTGGAACAATAAAGCTCTTGTATCGTTGCCATGCAGAATTTTAAAAGCTTGCTTTGTTACTTAGTAAATTTCTGCCTAATAAAAGATCAAATCCATTACTTTTCTTGCAGGAATATAACTTGACAGAATTAGTTTTAGAGCTACAATTTGAAAACCCTCTGCACTCTGGAAACACTCGCTGTTGTTACTGACTGCAGTGAGAGTTTGAATAGATCTGTGTTAAAAAGCTGACACACATTTTAAACTGACTTTTTGCATCTGCAGTCTGCTAAGAAATCTCATAATGACAGTTTATTGCGACATGAATGCATTCTGAGAAACATTAACGTTGAAGCTAGATGAAGCCAAATAATCCCATGTTGTAAATTCTTTCAGCCAGCTGTGCCTGTTCGCCTGCCTGAGACATTGTTAGCATTCTGTAAGATGTGTTATGTCTCTGAATTCAGCAGATAATAGTGATCTGAACATGAGGATTAGCTGCAAATCCACACACCCTCACAGTCGTACCAAGGAGCCAGTCGCAGCAATTCAATTCAATTCAAGTTCATTTATATAGCGCCAAATCACAACAAGAGTCATCTCCAGGCACTTCACAAAGTCAACAATTCAATACAGGTCAGATCATTAAGCCAATCAGTAAAAGGTTTCCTATATAAGGAACCCAGCAGGTTGCATCGACTAGCGTCAATGTCTTTACAGCAGTCCTCATACTAAGCAAGCATGCAGCGACAGTGGAGAGGAAAACTCCCTTTTAACAGGAAGAAAGCACAAAAGTGGGCTAACAAACCGGACTAATGGCAATGCGTCTTGTTGTGTGGTCAGCCACTAATCCATCTATGACAAGTCAGACTGGATTTCTGATCTACGATTAACATGTTTGCAGCATTTTTCTGACAATAATTACCATCTAACTTTGTTTCATTTGCTCCACCATCTTCTTCTTATTACAATTTTTAGCAGTTTAAACATGTATAATAGGTTATTCTGAGCAGTTTCCTGCTCCTCCATCCTACTGGTTGAGAGTTAAATTACAACTGTCGTAAACAACCCTGCTGCAGCAGCCTGCTGTAGCTAGCACCAACAATGAGCTAAGACTAACTAGAGCCAAATAATTGAATATAATGGGAGATTATTATTCCCCCCCCCCCCCCCCCCAATAATAATAATAGGAGGTAATTTTTTTAAGACGGGAAAGGTTGTCCTACCTTATTGCTGACAGTTTCGACCACTCCTGCGGTCTTCTTCAGACCTTTCCTGCGTTTTAAAAAAAAAAGAACCTAATAATGCAATCAGAAGAAACACACAATAGGAATACACAAAAGATGAGCCAAGTAATACTAAAATAAACCACAATGTAAAGTCTCACACTGTTGGACAAAAGACATTATTACTTACAAGTCCAGTAGCAACAAAGCCAGGTCACCATCAGTCAAGCCTCCTTTAGCTCCATCAAACCAGTGAAGGCTACGCCGATGTTCACTCCGGTTTTAGCTCTTTGCTTCACCTCCAAAGTTTGTTTCCATGATGCTAACCAAAAAAGCAAACTTCTTAATGTTCTTCGTCTTGGGCTTTTTATTGACAACCAGTGAACTGAAAATGCTAACCACTAGCATAACAGCTATAAAGCAGTTAAATGAGCTCCCCCTACAGAGCACCTACCCACTCCGCAAAACTGTTAGGTGTGGGATCCGGCCAGCAGAAGGCTGCAGAGTGGTGTCAAATATGAAACAGGTCACGTTTCTAACTCAACAATCACTGAGATCAATGTTAAAGCTCTAGCTTAAAGTTTAAATAACTATTTAGTGTTGCTTTAACTTTTTGAATGTTAAACCTACACAAATTACTCATCCTGTTTTCAGCTCAAGCTTTTGAAGTAGTTTTAATCTTGAGAATATGAGCCAATCAAAATGCAAATGAGTTTATTTAACTGGTGACTCTTTCATGTGTTCTCTCTGCTTTAATTTGCTAAATTTTCTCGTTACTCTCTCAGGCTTTCAAGGAGGAGTTGGAGTGTCTGATCCAGGAGCAGCAGAGAAAAGGGAACAACCCGAGCGGACTGTTGGCCCTCAGGCAGATCGCAGACTTCTTCATGGCCAGCACAGTGGCCGGCTTCAACACTTCCTCCCTCAGTGAGTGCTTGTCGCGCCTTGGCCTGTTACCCAGGGTAACCAAACATAAAGATCCATCTGGACAAGCCGCCCTTAACCATGGGGAGAACACTTTTGAACTGCCCACGCAGAAAAAGACAAAGGAGAAAGAGATCCATTTCCAAACATGAGCTCTGTGTGCTTGAGGGCATTAACGCTGTTAGACAGCCCAACTCCAGACTCCGGAAGAGCTGGGAATATTTCTGCGAGTTCTGTCCAGAAGTCCATATGTGAAATCTGCTTCTAATCAGAGCAGAGGAATGCACAACTAATGCTAAATTAGACGTCAAAGGCAATATAGCATTTCACTGTAGATCCTCTTTAAAAAGATACTTATACTATGTCTGAATGCAATTTAGGGTTCTGGTGTGGAGCCAGAAAGGTCAAATATCAGATGTTAGATACCTGAGTGGCATTCATACTCAAACTTTCTCTTCTCTTTCCTTCAGGTCTGGGGATGGTAACTCCCATCAACGACTTGTACGGAGTGGAATCCTCCAGCATGGTGAAAGGAGAGAAGCTGACACGCTGCAAACTGGCCAGCCTCTACAGACTGGTGGACCTGTTCAGCTGGGCACACTTTGCCAACTCCTACATCACAGTAAGACAAGCGCAAATGGAGAAAAATTGCATTATTTAACACATTTGTTGTGTTGATGAGGTATTTTGAAATGTCCCAAATTGGATAGAAACAGCAATAGTTCCAAATGCATTTAGTTATTTTTAGTCAACCAGATGGGTTTTCTTTTTGACTCATGTTAGGTTTGTTTAATGTAGTTCTGGACAAGTTTTACTACGGATTCATATTTTAAAAGTAAAATTTTGCTTCCAGGGTCGAGTCAGTAAAGAGCAAGATCACATACTCATCATGCCTAGAGGGCTGTCATTCGCTGAGGCTTCTGCGGCAAACCTGGTAAGAAGCAGCTGCTATGCATAAGGAAAAATAAAACTCAGCAGTGCATCCCTTCCCGCCGGGAACGTTTAAAACGGGGATCCACAGCGAGCTCGTACCAGAAAGTTAGTCCCACAACAGCTATCCGGAGAATCGTAAGATTACGTGTAATGTCACGACTTTATGCAATAAAAAGCAAGGAGAAAGCTGGAAGCATGTAATCAGAAAGTCTGGTTTCTTTTCCGGCCTGTTTAGCTCTGCTGTGGAGGTGTCACAGGTATTGTTTTTACTAGCTAAGCAACATAAATTCTGCACATGTCTTTTATTTTGAAAGTCGCTGGAGCTTTTCCAACTCGCCTGAGTTTGATTTCCCGTTTGGCTTCAGCTGAACTGCTGAGCTTTACGCATCCTGGAAGTGTAGAGCGTAAAAAATAGACCAAAAGCAGGACGTTTTTGGGACGCGCTCCGGAAACACACTTGCTGACCATCAAGTGAGTGTTGCTCTTCACAGGTGTTACGTGACCAATGTGCATCCGGAGGAAAGCCAGGGTAAAATCCTCTGGGCTGCAGAGAGGGTGCCTTAAGAGCTCCATTGGCTGCCGTAGTTGAACTCACAGATAAAAGAAAGGTGCAAATAAAGCAGCTGTAGTGGAGACTGAAGATGTTAGCAGGAAGTAGGCTGATATCCTGTTGGCGGGGAATCACACCAAGACCAAAATAAAGCTCTTGAAAGTGGAAAATGGCAGCTAGAGTTGGTGTTAGTTTTTCATCGGTTACAAGTGTTTGTCTTGGTGAGCACCGATAGCTCCTCTCTTGTTTACATTAGCGAGACTGAAGTCTACCTTCACCCTGTCAGCAAATAACACGAACAGAAAAAAAAGGTTGTTTTTGCTTAAAGAATTCGGAGCGTTAGCTCTAATCTCTGGGCGTGGAGAGTCGGTACAGCCAGATAAATGAACGATGGTCGGAATTCTGTTCCATCCCACTTTTATCCACGCTTCCTGTTCCTGTTTCTTCCACACAAACAAACCTTTCTGTGTTCAAATCTGGGCCACGGTCACTTTGGTTGTGTTTGAGTTGTTTTTATGAAAGAGACAATGATGTCATTGACTAAGTTACTGGTGTTTGGAGAAGCATGGAGACTGATGAAGAGGAAGTCATCCAGAATAAATGCTCTGGGGGTTGTGTTGGGGTCACGCGTGTGTGTGTGTGTGTGTGTGTGTGTGTGTGTGTGTGTGTGTGTGTGTGTGTGTGTGTGTGTGTGTGTGTGTGTGTGTGTGTGTGTGTAGGTTTTAGTTTCATATTCAGGGTGGTGATAGGGATGAACTTAGAGGATTTTCAGTCCCGGCAGGTTCAGATTCTCTCTGGGACGTCCCTTGGCTTGTTTTAATATTTAGCAGCGCCGCATTCCTCACTACGTTTGAACGGTAGGTTGCAGTCTGAAGGACGTGTTGGGGGATCTGATGTGGCCTTGGATGTGGGACATTAGCCAATCAATGAGTGCCAGCTGGCTGCTGCAGACTAATATGGTTCCGTTACTTACGCTCAACTGGTACCGTTCCCTTCCACATGACTGGTGGAGGATCAATAGTCTGTCATCTGGGGAAACATCCATGTGGAAGTCAAAAGGCTGAACACTAATCAGGATTATTTGCCTGATTTCAAATAAACGAGGCTCAAAACTGTTGTTTTCACGCAAAATGGGTGTCCTTTTTGATATTTGAATTTTTTTCTGTTTGAAAAAGCAGAAATATGACTCAAAATTTCAAACCATTGAGCAGAAAAAACATTTTGACCAACATAAAGATTTGTCTCGATGTGCTCAGATAAAACGTGGTAAAAATGTCTTTTTTAATTCATCTGCCCATAAACCATCATTTTGTAAGAAGGCAAACAGAAACGTGTTACTAGTCCAGATGTATTAAAAAGCTGCCTCGTTACTCATATTTCTAATTGTTTACGTCCCTAACACGTGGCGAGTGATGCTCCTTCCCACAACAGCGCATGCAAAGCTTGGCAGGCACGCTTTTCAGCACAACACCGTCTAAGAATTTGTTATGAGGTGCAGAAGACTATTGACCTTTTCATGTGATGTCATCAAAAGTCGTGCAGAAGTACTTCTGGTTTAAGACAACAAAAATATGTCTGATTTGTTGTTTTTGAGCAATTACATTTTCATTATTTAAAACAAACAAATCCTAAAAAACATGAGTAATTTTTATGTTGTGTCTTCTATTTTTCAAACACCTTATTTCTCCTCATTTTATTCAATAATCAAATGTTAAAATCAGAAAATGTTGTTTTTGTTTTTACCAAAAAGTACACTGACCCTAATTAAACTCACTTATTTTTCCAATTTTTATTTTTATTTTTTTTAGCAAAAAGAACATATTTTATATACCAGAATTATAAGGACACATTTCTATGCGCCAGGACCCCGGGGCATTGACAAGATGATTCTGAAGGTGCGTTGAGGTTTACCGAAAAATAAAACATTTAAAAATGTTATGTCCTGAATTGAATAAAAATTAGCTAAAAGGTTTTTTTTTTAATTAACGTAGCAAATAGAAAAATAATTGCTGATTTAAAAAAAAAACAGAGCACACGTAGTTATGGTTACGACCGATGGCTGCGGTCACTTTTGTCCACGTTGTCCTGCCTTCTCCCAGCTCTTCTTCACGTCTCGTATTGTTGTTTCTCAATCTCCGGTCAGGTGAATAAGTAACCTCCGGCTGACTGAGCGGTAATGAAGTTGTTAAAGGAAAGGACGTCCCAACCACTCCCTGACCGGATCATGTTTCTCGGTAATGCTCCAGTTCATTTCCTAGAGGGGAGCAGACAGAGAACAGATGTGGTTGATAATGTCATTTCTGTCATCACGCCCTTTAACGTTGACTTACAGTTAGTCAGTGTCTGCCTGGATGATGTTGGGGGGATAATAATAGGATTTCTGGTTCTCTGGCATTAGCTGGATTGGTTATTTTCTTTCCTCTCAGGTGAGCTGTCATTACGCCTTTAAATCCCACATATAACTAATATAATAACCTAAAGACTCAAGACTCTGTGTCCTCGTTTCCTCAGGTGAAGGTGAACATCATTGGGGACGTGATCGACCAGGGCTCCACCCCTCTGAGAGTCGACCCTGCAGGTTTCAGCCCACATGCAGCCATCTACTCCATGCGTCCAGACATCCGCTGCATCATACACGTACACACTCCAGCCACGGCAGCTGTAAGATCACGTCACACCACACCACCGGTCAAACGTGGCTGCTGAATTTAAAGATTATAACTTACATGCAAACACTGATTTCTGCTGTGAACGGAAATGTGAGAATCTCTTCTAAACCCACTTCTGCTTTAGGTGTCGTCTATGAAGTGTGGCATCCTGCCCATTTCCCAGGAGGCGTTGATCTTAGGTGACATCGCCTACTACAACTACCAGGGCAGTCTGGATGACCAGGGGGAGCGCAGAGAGCTGCAGAAGGCCTTGGGGCCCACAGCGAAGGTGGGAGGAGCAAAAACATCTGGGTCCAAACACACAACACCTGCAAGCTGTTTTAAAAATAATCCAAGGAAAAGGAAATTTTATATCTTGTCACTGAAGTCAGGATTGACCGAGTCCTCAGGGTGTGGGTGAAGTAGGAAGCTGTGGTTCATCCTGTGTGTGTGTGTGTGTGTGTGTGTGTGTGTGTGTGTGTGTGTGTGTGTGTGTGTGTGTGTGTGTGTGTGTGTGTGTGTTTGCACGGTCATGTGTTTGTGTGTGTGTGTGTGTGTGTGTGTGTGTGCATAAATATGTGTATGTGCACGGTCATAAGTTTGTGTGTGTGTGCATGAACATGTGTGCACAGTTATATGTTAGTGTGTGTGTGTGTGTGTGTGTGTGTGTGTGTGTGTGTGTGTGTGTGTGTGTGTGTGTGTGTGTGTGTGTGTGTGTGTAAGTGTGTGTGTGTGTGTGTGTGTGTGTGTGTGTGTGTGTGTGTGTGTGTGTGTGTGCACGGTTATATGTGTGTCTGTGTGCGTGTGTGTGTGTGTAAGTGTGTGTGTGTGTGTGTTCACAGTTATGTGTGTGTGTGTGTGTGTGTGTGAGTGTGTGAGTGCGTGTGTGTGTGAGTGCGTGTGTGTGTGAGTGTGTGAGTGTGTGTGTGTGTGAGTGCATGTGTGTGCGTGTGTGTGTGTGTGTGAGTGTGTGAGTGCATGTGTGTGCGTGTGTGTGTGTGTGTGTGTGCATAAATATGTGTATGTGCACGGTCATAAGTTTGTGTGTGTGTGCATGAACATGTGTGCACAGTTATATGTTAGTGTGTGTGTGTGTGTGTGTGTGTGTGTGTGTGTGTAAGTGTGTGTGTGTAAGTGTGTTCACAGTTATGTGTGTGTGTGAGTGTGTGAGTGTGTGCATGTGTGTGTGTGTGTGAGTGTGTGAGTGCGTGTGTGTGTGAGTGCGTGCGTGTGTGTGAGTGCGTGTGTGTGTGAGTGCATGTGTGTGCGTGTGCGTGTGTGAGTGTGTGTGTGTGTGTGTGTGAGTGCATGTGTGTGTGTGTGAGTGTGTGAGTGCGTGTGTGTGTGAGTGCGTGCGTGTGTGTGAGTGCGTGTGTGTGTGAGTGCATGTGTGTGCGTGTGCGTGTGTGTGTGAGTGCATGTGTGTGTGTGTGTGTGTGTGAGTGTGTGAGTGCGTGTGTGTGTGAGTGCGTGCGTGTGTGTGAGTGTGTGAGTGCGTGTGTGTGTGAGTGCATGTGTGTGCGTGTGCGTGTGTGTGTGTGTGAGTGTGTGAGTGCGAGTGTATTATGATCAAAAAGTGATTTAGGAAGTTTTTGAGTCCTAATCAAGCATCATTTTCACTACTTTGCATGGGAATTTGCAGGTTCTGGTGCTGAGAAACCATGGCGTGGTCGCTCTGGGAGAAACCATCGAAGAGGCCTTTCACTACATCTACAACACCCAGTACGCCTGTGAGATCCAGGTAGGCACCGGCTCAGCGCCAGCAGCACATTGCTGCTCCCCGTAGCTTCGCTACGCATTCAGCAGAGCAGCAGGACGACAGCTAATCTAATCTCTCACCAGCTGCTTTCACATTTCCTCTCACAGACTATTTTAACAACACTCAGTAACTCATAATCTCCCACCATGTGGAAAATGTTGGCAAAGCAGATTTATAATTGGGCTACTTGGACGTGGATGAAGGGTCTCAATCTAACGATGTCCAAAGCAAAACATACTAAAGGATGGCTGGAAAAAGTCAGCAAAGTGGTTTTAAAATGCGTATCAGTAATGAAGTTAACATTATGATTGGTACCGTTGATGATTATTATGAGCTCATATTGATTATCCTGTTCACATTTCATAGGCACTTTGAGATGTTTTAGTTTTTTATTTGTATTCCCCTCAGTTCACGCTCCTACAAGGAGGTTTTGTTTGAATTTGAGAAGAGAAACTTGTGTCCTTACCGAAACTCCCAAACGATTCCCCTCCTGTCAAGCAAATGAAAACATTAATCCATCTTGCAAAGCCCAGCTTAATTTCTATAAATAAATCCCTTCAGGCGTGTTTGTTGTATGTCATGTACTGTATATTCTAAGCTGCCGTGGATTCTGTGGTATCTCATTTTGGTTTTGTCAAATTATGTCTGTCCGTGCCTTTTCTAATACCACAAATATCTGGTGAGAAAAACAACAGTTTTTTTCTTTATTTGTTTATTTTTTTTGTGTTCATCATCCCTCTGAGGCTCATACAGCGCTCTTTCAGCTCGGTCTGTATTGTTTCAGGTGAATGCCATCTCGTGTGCCGGAGGCGTGGATAACCTCATAGTGCTGGACCCTGAGAAGTACAAATCACGAGTGTTTAGCGTGGCGACAGCCGGTGACATCAACCTGGGGGGTCAGTACAAGTGGAAGGCTGGTGAACTGGAGTTTGAGTCTCTGATGAGGATGCTGGATAACCTGGTGAGTCTGGTGCACCTTTAGAATCCTTTAAAGGAGCAACATGTAAGAATTCTAGAGTGAAATAATTAATGTCTCAAGCATGTTGGAAGGAAGGTTACATTGAAACAGATTTCCCCCTCAGCTGGATTGGGGGGTGTCAGTATTTCTTTAACAATGGTCAAAGAGGGGCGTATTCTTTATTTACAGTCTGTGAGCCCATGGGGTTACCAAGTCTGCGCTGAGCTAACACTGCAGCGTAGTTCGACTATGGCAGGCAAAAAGCTCCGTACTTGTTTAAATAACCAAAGCCAGTGTAACGGAATCAAAGTGATGTAACTATCTAAAGTTGTATTTTAATACACTGTTAGTAGTTCACTTTTTATAAACAGAAGAATAGGCTGTTTTTATCATCAGGGAGTTTAATTAAACACTCTGTATTGACTTTGAGACAAGAAAAGAGAGAGATGGGATCGTTTGAGAATCTTTAATTTCTGAATTATAAATTCTAAACAATCTACCAGGACTAACTCTGTGATGGATGAGAATGGATTCGGATGTTGTGTTGGTGTGTGTGTGTGTGTGTGTGTGTGTGTGTCTGGTTTAGATTCTCTAGGCTGACGTCAAAGAATCTGGTCGTCTTTGTTATGACTAGATATCACGAGGCTTATAAAGTGATGACATGAGCCGCTATTTTGCCGTGTACGTACCCAGTGGGGGTCTCCCAGGTAGATCAGGAAATGCCAGGTCTGGAGACCTCGGATGTACGATGGAGCTGTCGGTGCAGCGATCACAACGTTTCAAAGCCCGTCTGGAGGGTCGACCCCGGTACCGTTCGTCGGCGTCAGCAGGTGCTCTTATTTTGAAAGGACGTCGTCTGGTTGTTAAACGACGAAAATCTCCCGCTTCACAGTTCTTAGTTTAAAGAAGAAAACACATCTGGCCAGGCTGTGCTTTTCTTTAGGATGACGGTGAATAGAACTGAAGTCAAAATGGAACTGCCTTAAAAATGGCGTTGCCTTGTTTTATATCTCTGAATTGTTGATAAGTTGTAGTAAAGTGGATTGGACACTTGAAGTCAACACCAGATTCTCCTGCGGCAGCCGAAAGCTCTGATTGGTTGGAACAATGTGTCATGCGTTTCTGTGGAGATGAGGATCAGTATGTCTGCACCGTAGTCCTGGTTTCATTAAACATAATTTATGACATATTTATTTCACAGATCATTCACTTGATTATTGTTGATCAACATCTGTTTTGCTTAATAATTTTAATCACAAATAAAGTACTTTGATTAAGTAAAGGTTCTTCTTCTCCTTCGGACTCTTCTCCTGGAATGTAAACAGTCTGAGGAACACCCAACCTTGGTTTTTCTACACGGTGTTATTGTGCACAGGGGGCAGCTGTATGTAGTTGAAAACAATGAACTTCATAACCTTACACCAGTAAACAAGAGAGATGCAGAAGTTAGTTCTTGTGTCCCTAAGAAGCCACAGTATATTTTTGTTTTACTCTAATATTGGGTTAGAGGCTAGTGTTGAGCTAACAATGCTAACTGTGAATTAGAAGCAAATAGTTGTCTCTAAAAATATCTCAAGCTACTTTTTCAATTACCAACAACTCTATATTACTACCGTAATACACCCAAGGGGGCTTACATTAGATAAGACAATTTATTTATCTACTTATCAACTTACTGATCATGACTCGACTTACTTGTCACCTGGAGTCTTCTGGTGCTGATCTGTAACAGGCCACAGCCATGAAACACGCGGAGCGGGAGTGAGTCACTTTCGTTTAGAATCATCAACCGCAGTACCCAAATGCGACCACTGGATGTCATTCTTACTTCACTGTTACATATTGCACCTTTAATTCTTTTTATACCGACACATTCTGACTGGTTGCTTCTCCTTCCTCCCACTTTGTGCTCATGTAATTAATAAAATTGTGCACCTGTTCATATCAACGCATTCAGGAGAAATGTGTTCAATTGCTCCGTGATACGTGGGATAGCTGCTGATGTTTGGGTTTGAAAGATGGTTAACAGGGTTAAACGACTGACAGTCTGAGTGGATAATACCTAAAACAGAGTGATTTATATGGAGGCTTCAGTTCAAAAAGCTGTCAACAGCAGCTGCTGAGTTTCTGTATCTTGCTGTTTATGGCTCGCAGCGTGGGAGATTTAGTGCATGAAGTGTCCTGTTCATCTCAACTTCCCGTCATCTTTACTTCTGTCTTCCCTCCTTCAGCCCCATAAATATCCATCCCATTCAGTCCTCTTCCCTCAGAAGCTCTCAGTGTCTGTACCAAACCCAGTGGTGGGTGAGTGTGAGGGATGAGGCGTGAGTGAGTGAAGCAGCTCTACTCTTCATCTAAAAACAAAATAAAACTGAGCTTCCAGCTGTGAATGTGCTGAAATGTCTGAATGGAAAGCAGGATGTTGCCGGAAAGGATCCCGCCAGCTCGGGTGGGTGATGGAGTTGAAAGGTCAGCTTTGACCACAGGGTTCAGATAAAAGGGAAAAAGCTGAGTGTGGAGAACAGCAGTAGTACCACTGAGAGAGGGGAAGTAGGAATGTGAGATAAAAAGGGATAAAGCAGAGTGAAAGAAAGCGAAGTTACTGTCACTCTAATGTTTGTCCCTTCATTTTTAATTTGACTGATGAGACCAGAAAGGCAGTTTCCACTCTAGATCTGCACAATACATGCAATAAAAACATAGCGTCCTTGTAATATTAGTCTGTCAAAAAACTGCTGGGACCACAGAGGACATATTATGACTTTTTTCTAAGGATATAATAGTTCTATGGTTAATAAAATAGCATATTGATGAAGTTCTTTGCACAACATTTCACTCACATAAAGTGATTTCAGCAGTTTTATTCTTAAAAGTTACAGTACCTTACATAGTGAGCTGCGGCTCTGTCACTTTAAGAAAACAAGCTGGAGTTGGCCATGCCCACCCTGTTCCGCCGCTTGGGCTACTATAAGCTGAAAAGCTCCTATAACTGGGAGGGGCTTGGAGTAGAGCTGCTACAGCAGCAGTTCCCATTAGTGACTTCACAAATGGGGGCGTTTTGAAACAGTTTGTTTTAGGCACATGATTCCTAAAACAAGCCCTGCAGAAAAGGAATGGGTGGGAGTGTACATGTCAGCACAAACGTAGCATTACATGTCTTCTTTAGATCAGACCGTAGCGTTATGGTCCAAGTGCATTGGTCTGAATTAGACATATTAGCATTTGGGTCTGATGGACTCATGCTGTCCTTGACTTCCTCACCTGGTTTGCAGGATATTAGCTGAAATGCCAGAGAAAGTCTGAGTGATGAGAGGAGTGAGAAAAATGTGGGTTTATTGCTACTAACGTGACCATTATTGTATTTGAGAATAATAATGTGCAATGATTCTTATATTTATGCAGCCTGATTACACTAACAGTGGGTAAATGGGTCAGGAGCTTGTTTACTTTATGGTGGAAAGTTGTGCTTTGCATGACTCAACAGGTTTTTGAGATCTTTTACAGTTAACAGGGTATCCGCGGGTCCTTAAAAAGTCTTAAATTTACTTTTCCAAATTTAAGGCCTTGAAAATCCTTAAAAATGACAAATAATCCTTAAATACACTTTCCAAAGGTCTTAAATTACCAAAGACCCAATAAACTAGATTATTTTATTTCTATGACATTTTCGTGAATTTCTAGTTGGTGTTCAGCATTTTTTGTGTGCGATGTTGGCGTAAGTGGAACCGTACACATGCAGTTGGTTGTGAAAGGGGACTATTTTTAGATGAGCACATTAGCTGGTTAAGCTAGTGGGAGCTTGCGTCATGGAGAAGTGCAAGCTTAATGGTAAATGGATGGTTAATCCCACGTTCGCGACGTGGTTAGCATCGGTTCCAGGCAATAGCTGGAAATTATAGCTTAAATTTGGATCCGGATCGGAAGGAGCCAGTTGAGGTGGTTTAGGCATCTGGTCAGGATGCCTGCTGGACGCCTCCCTGGGGAGGTGTTTCGGGCATGTCCTGCTGGCAGGAGGCCCCCGGGCCGACCCAGGACACGTTGGAGAGGTTACATCTCCAATCTGGTCCGGGAACGCCTTGGGGTCCTGCCGGAGGAGCTGGTGGAGGTGGCCGGGGAGAGGACGGTCTGGAGCTCCCTAGTTGGGATGCTGCCCCCGCGACCCGGACCCGGATAAGCGGAGGAAGACGACGACGAGCTTAAATTTGGTCAAAGTGGCCTTAACAAAGGTCTTAAAAAGTCTTAAATTTGGCTCCCTTAAACCTGCAGATACCCTGAGTTAAGCACAAACATCAATAATGTCCTAAATGTGACGCGGCCTTGTCTTGCAGGGCTACAGGACGGGCTATGCCTACAGACACCCCATTGTGCGAGAGAAGCCGAGGCACAAGAGCGAAGTGGAGATCCCCGCCACTGTTACGGCGTTTAATTTCGATGAGGACATTGACGCCACTCGGCTGCCCTTCAAGTTCCTGCAGCAGCGGCAGCAGAGGGAAAAGACACGCTGGCTCAATTCACCCAACAGCTACACGAAGGTCAGCGTGGAGGGTGGAGAGGAGCGCTACAGCAGCAGGACGACCACGGTGAGCCATAAGCATCGTCTCAGACTGAAGCTGACCCTTCCTGCTGCAACACCATACCGCCACCTAGTGTCTGATCAGTAAACTGCACCAATCTGATGCAGTGAGGTTAAGGAATTCTTTACAAAGTTGGACTTTTCCTCGTTTTCTAGTGGATGAAGGCGGATGAAACAGGAACGCCAATCCGGATTGAGGACCCTAATCAGTTTGTTCCTCTCAACACCAACCCCAGTGAGGTGCTGGAAAAAAGAAACAAAGTGAGTAAAATGTGTTTGTCATCAGTCACAGCTGTGTTGTTTTTCTCACAGAGCTACTACGGTTTCTAGCTGAAGCATCAGGTCAAGGGCAAGAGGAATATTTATGAATATTTATGAAAATTTTAGTTTAAATATTATGTGATTAACTAGAAATAAAAAGGAGAATTGAAGAAATTGTTTTTTATTTTAATTTGTTGATAGAAATAGAAATAAATAACCTAGAAGAGAACAGAGAGGGCAATCTGGATCCGTTTTAGGTTTTATTTAGAGATAAATACAAACAAAAATTGTCGATTAAAAATGTCTGTACAATGACTGAAAGTTGTTTTTTTTATAATCAAAAAATAGAAATAGACGAAAAAACATTTGGTATTTAAACACATTTTCTGAAAATGCTTTTAAAGTTGAAACAAATCTGATCATTGCTTCCCGCCAGAGTTCTTAAACAGGCATGTTTTTCCTCAAAATGAAATACTAGAGCATGCTTTTAATTTAAAATATAATGTTTAAATTGTGTCCAGTCACCGTAGCGCTGACGTTTTTATCGTTTTATTTATTTATTTTTTCACAGATCAGAGAGCAGAATCGGTTAGACGTGATGACGTCAGGGCCGCGCTCTCAGCACCTCGCTGGCATTCCTGTTGATGTACCGCGGCAGGTTTGTTTTCTTCTTATTTATTTTGTTTTACAGATTAGTGGTTTTATGACCTAATAACGTGGAGCTGATCCACAGGTTATGGATAGACACATCTGTATGTGGAGACCCTCAGGTGGGTGGAGCAACATGACTCCGGGAGGCTGTGATGTGTGACAAAAACACATTTTATGAGTTTTCTATCTTAGAATCACACTTAGTCTGACCGCTCACCTGGAGCTAACTCCCTGACAAAGTAGCCTTCAGCATTATGAGAGTACTCAAACCTGTCTGCCGCGTTAAGGCGCCGATTCAGCGGGTGGGACTTATTTATTTATTTATGCGGCTCAAGTGGCATCATACACCCGTACAAATGTTGCATCAAAACAACCGGCTCGGTCGTGGGCAGTGTGGTATGATTTGGGGGCATTAGTGTTAGCTGCAGCGAGCCGCCCCGCTGTTATTTGGACGGCCTGACTTAATAAATGACGGCCTAAGTAATAGGGCTGCAACAACGAATCGATGAATTCGATGAAAATCGATTACTAAAAGCGTTGGCAACGAATTGCGTCATCGATTCGTTGTGTTGCGCAACTCTTCCAAAAGCCCCCTCCCCTCCCGCCCGCCGTTGCGCGCAGACCGGTGGAGAGCCGGCAGGTGTTTGTAAGAGGAACATGGCAGAAGCAGCGAGACCCCAAAAAAGTTAAAACTTCTAAAGTTTGGGAGCATTTTCAGTTAAATCAGGCGAAGACATGCAACGTTTGTAGGTCAGACTTAGCATGGCACGGGGATACTACGGAGATGATGCAGCGTCTTAAACGCAAGCATGTCAGAATCATCAGCGAGGAAGGAGAGAGCTCAGTGTCCGGGTAAGTTAAAAACTTTTCAAAAGTGATTCACCCAAGCCCCGGATTATTACACAGGCTAGACATGCCCTAAGCTCGTAAAAAAAGTCTATAAAATTGTAAGCGCGACGCTATTTGATAGTCGGGGGGGGGACTCGCGCCGCTGCGAACCAGTTCCGCCGTCACATTCCCGCAGAAACTGGTTGATCACACCGGGGCCAGACTACTAGCACCACAATGTCCTCGGAAGCGAAAACGCTTTTAAAAGGGAGGGAGGAGTCCTAACTGTTGCTGCAGGCGTGTTGTGTGAGAGTGCAGTTATATACTGGTTAATATATTTTTGGGTTCAGTTGCTTTCATGTGGCCTAATGTGAGTCTATTTGGGATCATTGGAATGATCGGCAGCATTTCTTGATGTGACTTTATGGCAGTTGCCCAGGGCATCATTGCAAGGAGGATGGCATTCATTTACTTTTGTTTTATTTGGTATTTTTCAGTCATTTTTGGAAATAGTGATTAATTTTGATTAATTCACAGCCTATGTTTAATTACATTTAAAAATTAGTTGTTTGACATCCCCAATTATAATAAATGTCTACAATGAGATCAAACAAAACAGATGAGAATTGCCCTTAAAGAGCAAGTCACCCCCAAATAAACTTTTTTTTGCTGATAAACTAAATAAACGAGTGTCTAATCGTGCTGCAGACACGTGTCGTCAATAATTTGGCACTTCAGTGCATCTTAGTTAAAATTTAAATATTCTGCCTAAAACTGGCAGTGTTGTGCCGTTGTCAGGTAAAAACTCTGCACTGTATTTTAATTTAAATCTGCCACCGCTATTGGCTAAGAAGTATGCTATGATGTAAACTGGTACATTATGATGTCACAATGCTGTCGTGAGCCTGAGTGTGTGTGTATTTGTTAGCGGCTCCGCCCTCTCGGTCTGCCAGGCAACAGCATGTGTTGCATTTTTCAAACATGAAGCGGGAGTGGAGTTAGACTCTGGTAGGGGTTGACTTGCTCTTTAAGCTGTTTAATTTGGACCAAGCATTTTAGGTCACAGATAGTTGTAGCTTAGGGTCTCTGTCTATACGCCTTATAAGACAATTTAGGTGATGGCATGTTGTTTTTCTGCTATTGAACTGTTTTCTAATAATGTTGTGTTTAATAAAGTGAAGGAAGGAGAAAAATAACGTTTCCCTGGCAGTTTTTAAAAATGTCCCTATGTAATCCGATTAATCGATTAATCGTGTCGAGACCCCATCCGATTAATCGATTATCCAAATAATCGTTTGTTGCAGCCCTACTAAGTAACGAGGGACGACTTTTACGTTTGATGGCAAGCCGCCCTCTTTTCTGTGATATCTAATCTAGAATTTGCATTTTGTGGAAGTAAAATAAAAATTTGAGCATTGCATAAATCGTTTGGCAAACTACTGGAAATACGCAGATTCATTGCAAGAGTTACCCCAGCACGGATCTCCATGTTGAGGGGGTGGATGGAGACGTGCTTGTAAAGAAGACGGGGCAACGTCGGTTATGTACAGGACGGCTTTGGGAGTCTCGTGTTGAGCAGAAAAACGTTCTGAGTAAAATATCCTGGGCAACAGTAAAGTATCCGGGTTGACTGCTCCTTGATGCAAATGGCCTGAAATGTGGTTTGTTTGTTAAAGGGACATTATGGAAGTTTGACAGCCAAAACATGCATAGAAATAATAAATGTCTTCTTCATACATTCTCCTGCAATGCCCTGGTCCTGTAGAATGAGCCCTGGCATTTTTACTGTGATAACCTGTTTTTCTGTAAAATCACAGAAAAAGAGAGATGCTCGGGTCGAGCAGGCTGCTTCATGCGAGTTCACGCTCAGACATAGCCCGTAGCATTTGCTATCCGTAGCTTCAGCAGCAGAGAGTAGTGCCAACTCAGCGACTTTGTCGCTGTTCCTAACGCCTAGTGATGAACCTAGCTACATTTCTGAGGACCCTTAGCTACTTTCTTCTAGATATTTCCTGCAAATTAGCAACAAAATAGCCATTTTCGCTCCGAACCGTTCTTTGAACGTTGTTTTAGCTGTCATCAAGGATATAAAAATTACAGATACCAAAAATGTCAGTGGTGCTTTAGCTCATCTAGATAGACGTCGGACTCTCGTGCTGGAGACTGGGGTTCGATTCTGGGTGAGAACACAGTTTTTTTAGAGTTTCTTTTTTTACATTAATGGTATATTTTTTACAGTTAGATGCCCAAATTTTTATTTGAGACTCGCCGAACGGCATTGAATTCACAGATAAAAAAGATGTGGGTTCAACTTTCATTTTGGAACAATTTTTCAAGCAAGGGAAGGGAATGATCTGAGCATGCAGGAGGACTGACCCATCTTAAACCTTTGTCGGCTCTGCTGAAGAGAAAGGTACAGAACCAAATTATTTAATTGATTAGCTGCGCGTTCTCCTGTCCTCTGTCCTCCAGGCCACACACACACACACACACACACACAAGGGACTGTCAGCTCTCAGAGCTCTGTGAAGCTGACCCCCGTCAGCTTCACAGAGCTTCGTCTCAGCTGTTATTTTCGTTAAGGAGTGTGCACGTATAGCATGCGCGCCTCGTGCACAAGCCTCCTATTGAAGCTTGCCGTTACGCTTTTGGCCAGAGGGGGCAATCGCGAGCATAAAAATTCAAAACTCTGTAAAGTCCCTTTAACGTGATAAACACGAGGCTTCCAAACCCTCTGGACATCTCCTGTGTTTTAGTTTCCCTCAACAGCTGATTCTCATACTTTAATAATAACGAGCCACAATAGTAATAAAGCACCAGTCTGCTATTGGTCTTTATACTGTTTTTAATCACTGTTTAGTGCTTTTTAAAGAAAATTATTGATATTATTACTATAATTTAATCTTTGACAGGGAACCGGAGCACCTGGTGAAAATCACAATTACAATCAGTTGCCTACATTTTAAATATCCTGAGGCTAACTGGGCTACCCAGAGAGAACAAGGTGGCCCTCGTAAGGTGGCGCTGCTAATTCATCTGCCCCCTTATGGTTGTCTGACGTGTGACTGACATGTAAACATTTTCATAAGGCCCTTCATGATTTCTACTCATCTTTACTGAAATGAGATGGCGTGTTTTGCTAGAAACAAGGAACACTGCCAACTTTTCTGTTTCTTAACATTATTGACAGATTAGTCTTTAAACCGCTGTGACCATTGTACAATTCATTCAATTCAGTTTATTTTAGTTTTTTCTTTTTTCTCTTTATTGCACGTTATCTAAACTCAAGTCAGTTGTTTGAATTCAGCTTAATTATAATAAAATCAGATTTAGTGGATCAAAAATGCACACACACACACACACACACACACACACACACACACACACACACACACACACACACACACACACAGACCTGGGGCCTCATTTACCAAACGTTCATAGAAACTGTCCTATATTCCGTCCTATGACCAAAATTTAGAACGTGTGTCCGAACAGTCAAAAGACTGATTTATGAAACAAGCGGTGGCCTCTCCTACGCACGTTCCTCCGCAATCATCTGATGATAAATCCCACCTGTGCGTACCCAGGTGCTCGCGTTCTTGTTTTTGCATACAGAAACGCCCTCAATTAACCATGCTTGGTCATGCCACGTCCTCAGCACGTGAGGGGATTCCCAGTTTTTTTCTCGAAACAAATGAGAAACCTAACCCTCGCCCTAACCCTTGAAAGCAAGATCGAGACACTGACTGTCGAAGCGCAAAAGAACCAAACAAGTTGCAGAGGTTATAAACGCAGTTGGACGGAGGAGAGGTTCCCGTCAGAAGTAAATAAAAATGAATCTGATAAATCGTGGACTAACGGGTTGTTACGGAGTTGTTTGAGTTATTTTTATTTAGAAATGCTGTCTGAGTGCAGCCTCAGCCTCTTCTCAGCTGTCTTTCACTCTGGTTGTGGGTATGAACGGAGAGCAGAGGAGGTTCTGGGGGGGTTCTCGTAGTTGTAAAATAAAATATGAACTGGAATCGGATTCGTGCGGTTTATCTGTTGCTCTACAAAGGGTCCTGAATCACAGCGCAGCAGAAGGATTTCCTTTGAGATCAGAGCGCTCACGGAGAATGCGTTCCCTCCAGAGTGCACGTTCTGGTAAATCCTCCAGTAACACAGAACAGCCATGATAAAATGTCAGAGTTCCGTCCGTCACGCGTGTCTTTTATTGGTTTTAGCACCAATTATGCGAAAAAGCCGTTTTTCCACGGACAAAGTTAATGACTGGATAAATAAAATTGCCGGATGAGAAACACATTTGGATGACTGTGCCATCCCCGTTCTTACATTAGATGCTGTGCATGCGCACGGTCAGAGATGTTCTAACATTTAGGAGCGTTTCTGCGCACAAGTACAAAATGATAAATACCACACAAGGCGTAGAATTGTTCCTACTCACAGATCTGTGCGTAAGTACGTTTGAGAAATGAGGCCCCTGGAGATTACATCAGATCAGATCAGATTGATCAGAGTAGAAAATGAACATCTACTTTAGGAAGAAACCTCTAGTAATCTATAGTAGCACAACTAAGGGGATGAGCCAGGATCAACAAAGCTAATCCTAAGATTTATCAAACAGAAGAAGTCCTAAAAGTAGATGGGGTCTTCATCTTCCTCACAGACTGATCTGGATGCTGGTTCCTTTAGAGAGTGGCCAGAGATGTGAAAGCTCACCTTCCCATTTTAGAAGCTTGAGGACCCAAACATCCATTCTGAGATCTAAATGCTCTGTTTGGAACATCTGCAACAGAAAGATTTTTTTTTTCTTAGAAAAAAGTATAAGTTATAAGTAAAGTTTAGGATCTCAGTCCTGAATTTTACAGGAACCTAAATAAATGATGTTAAAAGCAGAACACAAGCCCTGATGAAGATATGAACCAGAACAAAAAATAATAATTCTGGGATGGTGGTGGTAGTTCATCAAGATGACTAAAAGATCATCAGACTGTCTCACAAGGAAAGATCTTTTTCAATGAGCTTTAAAAACTTTCAAATTTACTGCTGAAGTCCAGGATTTAAAGATGCCACCAGAGGGCGCCATAGAGCTAGTTAAGAAACAGCACAAATGAGACCTTGAATCTTGCTATTGATGAAAGATAACACACTATAAACAAATACAAACAAACCATTAAAATAAATGTCTGTGGTTCTGAAAGTCTTCTGGTTGGTCTTTTGTCTTTAAGGATCTGGGCCAAATAAGAGTTACGGTAAATATTCTCAAGAGTCGTTTTGTTCTCATTTGAAGTTTTTTATTTTTATTTTATTTATTTATTTACTTTTTTGTGTTATTATCTATCACACATTCAAAACAGGAAACAATGCATGTAGTGGTGCTTCAAGATTGACTTTTATTATAATTTATTTCCACATGTTTTACTTATTTGAGACAGTTTCATCAATTTTTTGTGTTTTTTTAAGCATGAATGTCTCCATGAAAAATTCAGTTAAAAGGAGTTTGTTTACAGTTTAATGGAAAGGTGTGAGCACATCGAGGCTCTATTTTTTGTATGTGTGTGTTTATGAATGTGCCCGTGCTCTTCCTCCTCCCCCCACAGCCATACGTGCCCACAGAGGAGGAGCAGATGGCTCCTCTTCCTCCCAACCCCTTCAGTGGGCTGTCAGAGAAGGCGCTGGAGGAGTATCGCAAAAACGTGGAGAGACGGCAACTGGGCCTCAGCGGTACGGTGAACACACACTCAGATAAACCCCTGAGCACGTGTAGCTGGCAGAAATCAATCCTTGCAAATCCGTGAAGGTTTATTTTACAGCAGGATATCGGCAGGCTTAAAACAAGTGAGATCAATGATCAATTCTTCCACACAAAGGGGAGGGGGGTAGTTTGAGTCTGCAAGAAGAGCCACGTGTTGTCTCACTGGCTCAGCTTTCATTCAAATCTTCGTGGTGCAGTTTCACAAAACTTCTCTCAATTTGTTCACAGTTTGTACATCTGCCCTTCCAAAAATGGACACATTTCTTCCTCTTTCTGACTCACTTTAGCTAAATGAGCATGGCTCCATTTGGTTTCAGAGAATAGACATTTCATCCACACGAGGACCATACCCTGTGGCACACCCAAATAAATTAGGATTCCTCCCAGACAGCAAGTTGAAGGCTCATTTTGAGAGTTTGAGACCAAATTTAGGTGTGAATGTCCTTCAGATCAGCTACAACCTTTGCTTTACGGTAAACCAAAAGTCAATAAGCTCCACTGCGTCTTCTTCAGGAGCTAAAACAGGTTTTAGATTTAATCCAAAGAGATTCAAATGAAGGCAACTGGACTTCTTTGGTTTCATGAAGACATTTCAGTTCTCATTTGAGGGCCTTTGTTAATTCTGACCGGAATATGGGCGTCATTAGAATGACTCATCAAGCGGTAGGGAGGAGAGGTATGCATAGGTAGTTTCAGCCAACAATAGATATACAGCCTATAAGCTTGACTCTCCCATATTCCAGTCAGAATTGACAAAGCTCCTCAGATGAGAAGCAAAACATCATCAAGAAACCAAACAAGTCCAGTTGCCTTCATTTGAACCCTTTGGATTACCGTGACCTGGATGACTGAAAACCTTTGCCAGTTTTAGATCTAAATGATTGCGATAGGGTCACTTGTTTAATACCCAGATATATGAAAACTACATGAAACTTGTTTCAATTTTAAACTTGTATCCCAAACTCAACATCTGGAGCAGATGTGCAGTTTGACCTAATCTGGATTAAAATTGTGTTGCATTTGGGGGAAAACATCCGTGTAACTCAGATCCGCAGCTGTCTGATGTACGTCACTGTCACCCGAACACACATAAACATGGAGGGTTTGCCACACACATACACACACACACATGCATACATGCATATTGTGTTGTATCTGCACTCACACAAGAGTCAATGTTAATCATATTGGCTTTTCGGCGAGGGAGGCAGAAAGTCGATAGTGAACAGATATTTAGCGGAGGGGGAGGTTGCTCATCAGTCACTCTGCAGGCCCTTTGGACCAGTTTTAAAAGTGGTTGTTTTACGTGGGTGTGCACCCCAGCCACGTCATGTGCTCATGCATGTGCATGGAGAAGTCCAAATGTTCTCGACTGTGTGCACATATGAAACACCGAGCAGGAGTCTGTGTGACAGGCTCGTGTGACTAAGATGGCAGACTGAACTGACAGCAGGTCTTCACACCCGCCACATGAGCCCGGCCCGTTACTATGACACTGATGCCCCCACAGCCCCATGAATCCCCGGTGACCCATCTGGAAGCAAGCTGAAGTCCTTCTGGATACAAGCTTAGCCTGCACACACATAAATACACTCGAACAGGTTTTGTTTGAGCACGCATATCGTTTTAAGAGGGGAAACTGCTCATTTTGAACATAACATTTCTAAATCCACACTTGAGACACCTGGTTTAGACTAGTTTCTACATGATAAAAATGAGTGCACACACCACACCACAACCTTGTTCTTTATGCTCAGAGGAGCTGTGAATGACTGACAACCACCAGCTGAATACGACACACTACATGTGCTAATAGATGCATCATGGGATTCATGAGTGTCATTCGTTCACTCATGCTAATCAATAGTTAAAACTAACAAAGCTGCTCAAACCCGGTTCACACGGCAGAATCCTTCACCGATTTACCCGTTTGTTCCTGTGTGTGACAAAAATGACACACAAACCCACACAAACATTTTCTAGTCAGATAGGAAATCTCTCAAGATCAAACGTGAGTTGGGCGTAAACAACATAAACACATCATATTCAATAGGCAGCAGGCTTGTTTGTCCTCAAAAAGCAGAGACAATCCAAATTGTTCTAAAGCTTGAATTCATGATCGGATAGGTCCCAATGTCCTTCCGAGCAGACTTTACTCACCACACACGGTAGGAATATCTGATAAGATTACCTTTGGAGCTATTACAGTAATTAGGTGCATCTTTAAGCTTGCCGTAAAGAGAGAATCGTGTCGAAAATTGCCACAATTATTCTGCCATGTGAACCAGGCTTAACACTATACAAACCGTGTTTATGGTGTGAAACAAAATCGAGTACTTCATTATTTAACTTTTTGTAAAACTTCAGCTCTTGATTTAACGGCTTATCTACGTTTCTACCCTAATCTGTGGTCAGGAGCTTTGGGTAGTGTCTGAAGGAATTAAATTGCAGATACAAAGGGCTGAAATGGGTTTTCTCTGCAGGGTGTCTGGGCTCTCCCTTAGAAATAGGTGGACAAGCTCGGTCATCCGGGAGGGGCTCGGAGTAGACCCGCTGCTCCTCCACATCAAGAGGAGCCAGTTGAGGTGGCTCAGGCTTCTGATCAGGATGCCTCACTGGTGAGGTTTTTCATGCATGCCCAACCGGGAGGAGACCCAAAGGAAGACCCAGGACACGCTGGAGAGACTATGGCTGGTCAGGGAACGCCTTGGAATTCCCCCAGAGGAGCTGGCCCAAGAGGCTGGGGAGAGGGATGTCTGGGCCTCTCGGCTTAGGCTGCTGCCCCTCGACACAAATAATAATGACACATAAAATTCCTTCACTGCTAAATCATTTGACTCATAGTTAGGTTATTTTTAGGTTTGTAGCAGAAAAGCAGCAGCAGCTCTGGTGGTCCAGCAGTTAGTTGGTCTGAGCATCTCAGCGTCCCAGTGGTCCCAGCGTGCTCTCCATTATTAATGCTTCTCTGGTTTCTGGTCAGGTCCCTGCTTACTTTAAGAACGCTGTAATCCACCCGCTTCTTAAAAAACCGAGTCTCGACCCCTCTCTCCATAGCAGCTTCAGACCCATCGCTAAACTTCCGTTCATCTCCAAGATCTTGGAAAAGGTTGTGGGTGAACAACTCACAGCTGCTCTTGATCAACATAACATCTATGATAGCTTCCAGTCAGGTTTTCGTAGAGCTCATTCTACTGAAACAGCTCTTCTTAGGGTCTCTAATGACCTTCTGGCTCACAGTGATGCAGGGGACTGTTCTGTTCTGGTCCTGCTAGACCTGACTGCAGCCTTTGACACTGTTGACCATCACCTGCTACTGGAGAGGCTGAGAGACTGGGTAGGCCCATCAGGATCTGCTCTGGAGTGGTTCTCTTCTTATCTTTCTGAGCACTCCTTTTCTGTGGCCGTCTCCAAGTTTAGGTCCTCCGCCACCTCTCTTACCCATGGTGTCCCACAAGGTTCTGTGCCGGGGCCTCTGCTCTTCCTCCTCTATCTGCTTCCTCTTCAGCACATCCTGAGCTCCTTCAAAGGAATCTCCTACCATCTTTATGCAGATGACATCCAACTGTACATCTCCTTTAAGCCCCATGAGATGTCTAAGCTGCAGATGTTACACACCTGCTTAGACTCAATCAAAACCTGGATGGCTGGGAGCTTTCTACAGCTGAATGAAGATAAGACTGAGATCCTCATCTGTGCCCCAGACAAGCTGGTTCCCAAAGTCAGAGACTCTCTTGGTCAGCTTGCTTCTCACACCAAACCTTCTGTCAGGAATCTTGGCGTGACCTTTGACCCAGCTCTCACCCTGGATTCTCATGTCAGTTCTCTTGTTCGCTCTTCCTTCTTCCATCTCAGGAACATTGCTAAGCTGAGTCCCATTCTGTCCCGCTCTGAACTTGAGACAGTTCTCCACACCTTCATCTCCTCACGCTTAGACTACTGTAACTCTCTTTTCACGTGTCTGAGCAGAGCCTCCCTGAACCGTCTACAGGTGGTTCAGAACGACTGTGCTCGGCTTCTGACCAAGTCCTCCAAACACACCCACATCACCCCGCTTCTCCTCCAGCTTCACTGGCTGCCAGTCAACTTCAGGGTTCATTTCAAGATCCTGGTTCTGTTCTATAGGGCCTTACATGGACAAGCACCATCTTACATTGGTGATCTTCTTAGTCCCTACACCCCCAGCAGGTCCCTGAGGTCCAGTGATCAAAGCCTACTGGTTGTGCAGCACCAGGCTAAAGACCAAAGGTGACAGATCATTTGCTGCTGTGGCCCCCAGACTCTGGAACTCTCTCCCCCTGAGCCTGAGATCAGTGGACTCAGTGGTCTCCTTCAAAAAGCAGCTGAAGACTCACTTGTTCAAGCTGGCTTTTGTATGACCTTCATCACCTCTCTCTCTTTATTCTGCTCTCCCCACCTATTCCACCTTCCTCAGGATCCACTGATTTCCCTCTTTCCTGTTCACTCACTCTCTCTCTTTCTTAACATTTTTTAATCACAATTGTCTATTTTTTTCTCATTTTAAATATATTTTTAAAAAAATCTAAATTATTTTTTATATTTTTACATTTTTTGTTTTTGTGAAGCGCCTTGTGATTTTTATCTTGAGAGGCGCTATTGAAATGATATTTTCTTCTTCTTCTTCATCTGCCTCCTCTAGGATATTAGAGCCCAATACACTCAGCCACACACAATCAAGGGAAAATATGTCAGAAAGAGAGTATGATGATCAGTGGACAAGGATTTTTGAAGGTTTTTTGTGTTGAAACAGATGTGCATTGCCTGATTCTAGTGTGTGTGTGTGTGTGTGTGTGTGTGTGTGTGTGTGTGTGTGTGTGTGTGTGTGTGTGTGTGTGTGTGTGTGTGTGTGTGTGTGTGTGTGTGTGTGTGTTATCGCTAATCTCCCAACCTCCCATCCCAAATCCCTCCAACCTCTCATCCCCACTGTTGTCCCTCTTCTTTAACCCCTCCTCCTCCTCCTCACACGCACCACTCTGCAATCCTCTCATCCATTCCTCACTGACTCCTTCCCTCCCTCCCTGCAGATGGTGAGCACGAGTTAACCTCTGATGACGGCTCTTCTCTGTCTCAGTCTCTGTCCCTCACCCAGTCTCTGCAAAGCACTCCGGCTAAAGAAGGTACCGCTCACACTCAGAAGTGTTGTGTTGCTGCTTCAGCATGAGGATGAAACTCATCACACTAAACATGATTTACTAATTATTCCTGTTATAACTTAATGCTGCACCGAGGATTTTAACATGAAAGCACATCTGTGGAAAAAGAACGTCATGTATGAGAAGCTGTTCTGACACGTGAAGGCCTGATCAATTATCTGCATGAGAGTTGACAGCCTTCAGCGCTTCACTTATCATGAGGGGCTAAATCACTTAAAGGTGAACTTTGGATACATTTTTTTATCAGATGGCACCATCTAGTGGCTGACAAATGTATTGCACTAAGCCGTGGTTTTCACTTCCACGTTTACAGCCGAACGCAACATCTCTCAGTCATCAGTGCACTCCCCTAGCCGACAAAGCTTAAACACATTATTTACCCTTATTATGCTCATGTTGTGTTGTGTATTCATATATTTATATTTTAAAGACTTGCTTGTCCATGAGAAAGGTCATCAACCTGCATCAACCAAGGCGTGTCCTCAAACCCTCGAGCACACACTGTGATTGACGTCTGTATGTAGGCGGTACTCCAAAGCCTATTTCACACTGGAAGCGTCAGTGGTGCAGAATGGCCTATCTTCAAATTAGAACCCATTATAGTCAGTATATGGGGGCGATTCAACCCAGCGGACATTTTCGGGTGTGTCCCAAAAGCGGCTCACCGTTCTGCCAAAGATAGGATTGGGTGCTATTTTTTCCGCAAGCCGCTTCTGGGGCGCGACAATTCCTCCAGTTAACATAGGACTAGACAGGTAAATCATATACGGTTTCAGTGTAAAACCCCCAGTAAGTTTCAAAATAAAAGGCTGTTGCAGCTATGCAATTTCATATCTATATAGATTACGTCAAAACATGTGACCTAACGGCTTATTTACTCCCAGTATCGTTCAAGAAGTGCAGTGGTGTGTTTTTCATGGCCTTAATACTGGCAGAGGAGAGGAACATCATCATATATGACATCAAACTGCGATATCAAGCATGATTTCCTTCTTTTTGGTTTAACGATGGATGTCATAAACTCGAGGGATTTTGCTATCTCACAAATGAAACGAGGAGGATTGTGGAAGTCTCGAGGAATTTTGTGATCTTGCAAGTCCGGCGAGTAACACAGCAAGGAAGCCATTTGGCGGCCAAGACTCTCCCGGTTTGTACCGGACCGCAGCAAAAGTCAAGCGTAAACTGTTCGGCTTAGGGATGGGTACCTTTGACATTTGAATCGATCCGGTACTAATTCCCGGTACCTACGAATCGATACCGGTACTTAACGGTACCAATTTTCGATACTTTTGAGTGTTTATTTTAATTCTCTTTTATAATTAAATATATATGTTTCTCTGTATATAACAATATTTGATAAATAACATTCAACTGTTTGTATTTTAACATCGTCCTTGTAGTTTTATAAGCTGATAATTAAACTGAAGCAAACATCTTTACTGTGAACTAAATTTACTGTGTATCTTCATTCCTTTTGCCGTATTTTTTCATTTGATTTTTCCTACTGGGAAGTTAGAATTTCCGAGGAGAAAGCGAACGCACCATTAGCTGATAACAACGGTGGCATAGGAAGCTAACATATCAAGCTAACGTTATCTTAAGCAGTTTATTTAGCTGCTGGAGCAGATTAAAACGATGATGCCTCACACTTAGATCATTGTCACTGGTTTCATCTTCACCTGTCACATTTAGTAAAGTGAAGCCAAACTTTAGAGCGCGTTCATGTTCTTCTAGGCGGAAATTCGAGTTCCGAGGAGAAAGCAAATGCACCATTAGCGAAACGGAAGCTAACATATCAAGGTAACGTTATCTTAAACATTTTATTTACCTACCTGAACAGATTAAGATGAGGATGACTCACTTAGATTGTTGTCGCTGGTTTCATCACCCAGTCACCCATCACATTTAGTGAAGTGGACCCAAGCGTTAGCGTGCATTCTTTCTACCGTGCTGCTCTGTTTACAACTCACTCGCAGGGACCGACGACATAACGCTCTTGCGCATGCGCAGCTGTCTAGGCAAGTTCTCGTTATGATGGACGGGTACCGAAACGAGGCACCGTTTGAAACGACGTGAATCTGTGCTCGGTCGGTACTATGGAATTCGGTCGGTACCTTAAAAAGTACCGAATTCGGTACCCATCCCTAGTTGGGCTGCTGTTCCACTCTGTTGATGCTTCCAGTGTGAAGTAGCAGTAATGCTATTGGTTAACGCTGAATGGGGCTAAGTTAATATTGCATGGACCATTAGTTTTAACTCTGCCTCAACACACCTGATTTCAATCAGCAGGTGATTAACCGGCTTCTGCAAACCCTGATGAGCTGCTGCACAGGTAACTGAACCACCGAATCTAGTGTGTTGGACCAGAGAAACCACTAAAACTAAAACGTGTCCTCGAGGCCCAAACTTGAATAGCCCTGGTCTACAGGCTCCTCAGTAGCAGCGACAGCCAGCTGGTACGATCCGTTCTGAAAAACGTTGATCAGAATTTGCAGGTTATATTTTTTTAACGGAGATCGGGCGCGTGCAGCCATCATGCGTCACTCAATACAGCGCCCGTGCGGAAAGTCGCCCAAGAACTTTTATCTGCTGCACTTGAATCACGTAAATAAAAATTAATTATTTAACGGAAAAAATTCACCAAAATGGTACGCAAGTTGAGCGAACCAAACAGGCCGAACCTAAACGGCACCTACGAAACGAAACACCGCTATACATTATGCAATCTCCACCAGGGGACTCCTTACAGCTTGTTACTTGAGGAAAGTACAAATCCTTTTATTGCAGTTGAGCTTGTAGAACTAGGCTTACCAAAACATATATATAATATAACTTCTGAGGCAAAAACAAAATAATGTCTATATAAAATTGTGGAAACACTAAATATAAATTCTAATCACTGTCACAAGCTCAGGTCATTAAACTTATTTCATCTCAGACCTCCTGGACCATGAACATTCAGAAATGTCACCTGAGATGAATTGTGGTGTTCTGCTGCTGTTAAGATCTGCTGTATTTGGTCTCGTAACGCCCAAGTTCTCCTGTCTGACATTTGAAACTAGTTAATGTACCTTCAACAAACACAGCGATCACAGGAACCCTATTACTAGTGGTAAATAATGGCACCATGGGATCGAGTTCCTGTCAGCTTCCTTCCAGGACAAACATGCAAATCCACACAATGGCAATTACCCTTTGACAGCACGCCAACTCAGGGGGCCCGTATTTTCTGACACCTCTGTTATGGGGTCAGCCTGTTCTTGTGCTCGTAACCGGGTCAAATGTTGTATTCTCTGCTTTCCTAATATCATCCTGTGCGTTTGAAGGTGTAAATAACCCGAGAGCTCTTTACTGTTGTAACATGAAACAGATGTCCTGGATCGCGTAACCCTTTCAGGACTTGATGCTAGTGGACCTGTTACGTGAACGGTTGTTATGAGAGTGTTATCAGGCGTAAAGGAGGGTAGAGTCTCCGGGCAAGCAGGTCACAGGGGTTGTTATGTGAAGCATAATAAAGAATCATATGGAATTAGTTCAGACTTTTATTCATAACAGTGCTGTGAAAAACTTTATACATTTCAGGATCAGGCAAAGATAATTTGCTGTTTCACATGAAGATTTCAGAAGTTCTTCAGGATTTTCTGGTAGAGAACAGAATTTGCAGTTCCACCTTTTTTCCTGAAGCAGAAAAGCAGCCCCAGACCATCACACTACCACCACCATGTTTTACTGTTGGCATGATGATTTTTTTAAACAGTACCCTCACCTTCTAAGTAGTTCCACTTTTGTCTCACGAGGCCTTAGAACATTTACCAGAGGTCTTAAAGCAGGCCTCTCCAAATGTATCGACAAACGTGAGATGGGATTTTGGGTCGATTTTGATCAGCAGAGTTTCTGGTCATGGAAGTCTCCTACTGATGCCGTTTTTATCCACATTCCTCTTTTTTATTGACCTCAACCTGAACCAAGCGATGCCTGCAGAGTTTCAGATGTCGTTCTGAGTTATTTTGTTCTTGAATTTCTTTAGAACGGGACAGGGTGTGTTGTTTTTTGAGATCTTTTAGCCTGCTTAACGCTGTCGAGCAGCTTCTGTTTTTGTGATTACTTCATTCTATAGATCTGGTTGTGGCTGGTTGGGACTGGACTCAGCTTTCTAAATTGTAGCATTTTATAATATGATTCATTAAGGTGTTACTGAAAAAAGTAACTAGTTACAGTTACCTCATTCAAAAAGTTACTTAGGTACTGTGTTGATAATGTATACCAAAACTTAATGGGCTACTTAGCTACTTTTTTAAAATAACTTTTTTTTTAAATGTGCCCAATACTACTGATTGCAGATAAAAACACCAACGCTTACACCTCTAAACGTCTCCTTTGATAAACACTTATGAAATGTGCTGTAGTTAAAATGAGTTGTGTCCTCTGATTAGCGGTGGCCCAATGCACGATTTAATCCTCGTCGTCGTCTTCCTCCGCTTATCCGGGTCCGGGTCGCGGGGGCAGCATCCCAACTAGGGAGCTCCAGGCCGTCCTCTCCCCGGCCTTGTCCACCAGCTCCTCCGGCAGGACCCCAAGGCGTTCCCGGACCAGATTGGAGATGTAACTTCTCCAACGTGTCCTGGGTCGACCCGGGGGCCTTCTGCCGGCAGGACATGCCCGAAACACCTCCCCGGGGAGGCGTCCAGGAGGCATCCTGACCAGATGCCCAAACCACCTCAACTGGCTCCTTTCGATCCGGAGGAGCAGCGGTTCTACTCCGAGTCCCTCCCGAATGTCCGAGCTCCTCACCCTATCTCTAAGGCTGAGCCCGGCCACCCTACGGAGGAAACTCATTTCGGCCGCTTGTATCCGCGATCTCGTTCTTTCGGTCATTACCCAAAGCTCATGACCATAGGTGAGGATTGGGACGTAGATCGACCGGTAAATCGAGAGCCTGGCTTTCTGGCTCAGCTCCCTCTTCC